CTCTTTCAGTTTGAACTGAGTTGTCTCTGAAATTCTTTAACAGCAATTATCGACCTTGTGTGAATCCCTCCAACTCATCCAGGGAACTGGGAATAAGTGGAGAACCAAGAATGCTCCCTGAYGTCACTCAAGCCCCCACTGTGGCAATTCCCAGGAGTATCCATGGCACATGAGTCACTTTTCCAAACTCTTTTGGGTTTTCTGTGCTTAARCCAAATCAGGTTCATTAAGAGCCTTTCCAAGTGAACGCTTGCAGAATAATTGTCAAAATAGGTGAGAGCAGCAATTAAAAAMCAGCCAGAGTTGGGATTTTCAGCACTTGTCTTATTTCATTTGACTTTTTGCTAAGCTCATCAGTGAGAACTCATGCTGTGATTTAATAAAACCGGTTCATGACTCTGCCATGGCCTCCTCACACCTGAATGTCAGAGCCACTGTGATTTGTGTGAAGGTTCCCCCAGACTATCTCAAGATCGTTATGGCTGGAAAAGCCCAACCATGACTCCAGCATCACCACTAAATCATGTMCTGAGTGCCACTTCCACACTTCTTAGGAACTTCCAGTGATGGGGACTGCACCACTGTTGGACAGCCCTTTCTGTGAAGAAATGTTTTCTCGTTTCTGATSTAAACCTGCCMTGGYCCAGCCTGAGGCCRTTCCCTCTCCTCCTGTCCCTGYTCCCTGGGAGCAGAGCCCGACCCCSCYGGCTGCCCCCTCCTGTCAGGGAGTTGTGCAGAGCCACAAGGTCCCCCCKGAGCCTCCTTCGCTCCAGGATGAGCCCCTTTCCCAGCTTCSTCAGCCACTCCTGGGGCTCCAGACCCTTCCCCAGACCCTGCCCTCAGTTCTCTCCTTTCTCCAAATCCATAATCTTTGAGCACAGAATTTGTTCCCATCCTGCTGAATCCCACAGATGGCACCGTCCCAGGGCTGAGTGCCAACATTTGGGTGCCAGGGGCARTTTTTGACACCCGTGGGACTCTCCAGGGGTTGGATGTTCCTTGGACATGGGCAGAGCCTGAGGCTCCTCTGGAGGAATCCTCATCCCTTCTTAGTGGGAAGAGAAACCCAGAGGTTTCCAACACCCATCAGACCTCACGAGGTAAAGGCAGATYGAGGCTGGGTCATTCATCTTCCCAACACTCTCAGTGCTTTTTTATGGAATATTCTGCTGTTCACCTCTGTTGGTCACAGCAGAACAGAAATGCAGGAGTTGTGTGTTTGAGAAAGGCAGAGAAAACCCAACTCAGCTGCTGCCTTTGGGATGGAGGGACACCAGTGGGGATCACTCTCAGGACAGGCTGGTGAGCAGAACTCCCTCCCTGGCACAGAGCACTGCCCCTGGAACTCCTCCAGGAGGAACTGGGGCTCATGGGGCCAGGCTGTTTCCAGGCCACGATGCCCACAGTGGGTTTGGGATGCGCTCTCAGCACGGGGAGCCTTCTCTCCTGAACGAAAACAGCTCCTCTGAGGCCAGCAGCAGCAGCAGCAGGGTATTTATAGTGGGCTGTCCCAGCCCTGCTCAGGTGAGTGATGTTTTTTCGCGCTGGCTGCCAGGGGTTATTTTTGCCCTAACAGGTCAGTCTGTCATTGTCAGGCTGAGCTGGGCAGGGCAGGGGGAACAGGGAGGAGCTGCTGCTGCTGCACCCCGAGGATCTGAGAGGGGATAGAACCCCCTGGCAGGAGCTGCTGCTGCACCCCGAGGATCTGAGWGGGGATAGAACCCCCTGGCAAGCAGCACCAGGCCCGGTAACCAGAGAAACTGTTCTGTCCCCGCTCTGTGTCCTGAGCATTGGAGCAAGGGAGCTGCCAGGGAAAAGCTGCAGGGCTGTAAATCGTCCCTTCCCTGTGTGCCATGAAATCCCWCAGCCTTCACTGCCCTGCCCTGAGCACTGATCAAAACAGATAAAGCTGAGGACAGAACCGTGCCTCTGCTCTGGGCSCATCCTCGCCCTGGATTTGACATCCTGCAAATGGCTCCAATGTCCAGAGGGAGCAGAGGAAATCCCCGACTTGACCCTGACGGTAACACAAATATTATATCTGGGTTGTGGTGTGGGTGGTGGGAGATGGAAGGTCTGATATCCACATTGATATTGAGGAATATCACATGGTCATAAAAACCTTATCATCACAAGAGCCATGGTGGARTCATTGTGCCCTGATAGAAATGTGCACGTGTTTGGACTGATGGAATGGTGGCATTACCTGTGAAATACCCTTTAGCACCTGAGCCAGCTCACCCCCGTGTGGAGAGGGGGTGTCCAGGTGTGAAATAAGGGGGTATTCAGGTGTGGACAAGGGGGATGTCCAGGTATGGAATAAGGGGATGTCCAGGTGTGGACAAGGGGTATGTCCAGGTGTGGAATAAGGGGATGTTCAGGTGTAGAATGGGGGGATGTCCAGGTGTGGAATAAGGGGATGTTCAGGTGTAGAATGGGGGGATGTCCAGGTGTGGAGAGGAGGATATCCAGGGGTAGAGAAGGAAAATGTCTCTGCCCACAGAAGGGAGAAGGGTTTGGGGCTGCTCTGTGACCCAAGAACACTCTCAGAGGTGACAGTGGGTGGAGATACCAGGGTGCTCCTGGGAGTACCTGCCATGCCTGGTCCCTCATGAGATTCCCAAATTTCAGTGGCAATCTCTGGGGCTCATCTTGACTCCATTCCTCCCCATCATTAAAGGCCCTTCAGTGGAGGGGATGAAAAGTACCTTAAATATAGATGGGAGTTGCAAGGAATACTTGAATCACTCTTGGAAGGGTTGAAACTTCTTTCAGGGTCCAATTCACCTCATCTCAAGGTAGCATCTCCGTTAAACTCAAGGAATTCTACTCAAAAAGCACCTCCTTCACTGCACTATTAAGGAGTGAGTGAGGCACAGGGAGAGAGCCCAGGAGAGCTGATGGCTTTGCCTTAGTGCCATGATCTGGGGCAGGAGGGGCTGCAATTCCTGCTTCAGAACCCTGCAGGGATCCTGGAGTTTGAGAACTGGGAACTCTGAGAGCCTAAGTGGGTCATGGCTGTCCAGCCTGGAGAGCTGTTCAGCCTGTCCTTTCCTGGCTCCTGTCACCACTGTCACACACCAGAGCTGTCCCCTTCCGCTGGGACCTGCAGCAAAACTTCTGCCCCGTTGCTGACAGTTCGGCTCATCTTTATTCCCTGCTGGATTTGTGTGTGCTCCCAGCATCTAAAAAAGGCTCTGTTTTGCTTCGAGGTTCCGCCTGGCACCCGCAGTGCCAAAACATCCCACGAGAAAAGCTGTTCCTGCTGCACTTTTGGAAAGTGGAGCTTCCAAAGTGGGATGCTGAGCAGCATTGGGACCCGGGCTTTTTCTGGGATGGCTCATCCAGGCTCCCGAGCTGCCATCCTGCAGCAGTGACAGCTGGCTGCTGTCCCCAGGGCATCAGCGAGTCACTGGGCACCAACAGCTCCAGGCAAGCCAGGAACATCTCCCTCCCTGCTGCTCACCAGGAGGAGCAAAAAAATTGTTGCCTGGCCTGATTCAGAGAGTTCTGCTGCTGCCTCCCTCCTGCAGGCTTCTTAAAATTCAGCTGTGCTGCTCTCCAGYTCCCTGCAATGCCTGACACAGGGTGAGGATGCTGCCTGGAGCWGCTCTATCCCAGTAATGAGCCAGGCTGAGCACTGATATGCATGTTCACCCTTTGTGTCTCTGCCCCGTCCCCTTTCCGGGCTGTTTGACCCCATGAAGTGCCAGAATTCCCCCCAATTCGCTTCCAGAAAGTCAGATTTCTGGGCTGGGAAAGCACAATGGCTCTGCCAGGGTGATGGGCACAAACTCTGAGCTTCCCTGATCTCTTTCCCTGGGCTGTTCTGCGCTCGAGATGATTTCAGGGAATCATAGAAGAGTTTGGGTGGGAAGGGAACTTAAAACTCATCTCATTCCATGGGCAGGGACATCTCCCACTGTCTCAGGCTGCTCCAAGCCCTGTCCAGCCTGGCCTTGGACACTGCCAGGGRTCCAGGGGCAGCCACAGGATGGACACCAAAGGCCCTTGTGGTTGCTCCAAGCAGCAGCGCTTTGGAGCAGCACAGGACAAGGACATGAAAATGCTTCTCCTGAGGTGGCTGAAAATGGGGAATGTCCCTGCCAGTGCCAGCTCTGTCTGAGAGCAATTCCACTGCAGATCCCAGGGTCTGATCCCATTACTGATCCTTTCTGGTTCCGCGGAGGGACGGGAACATTCCCCCCTCTCTGGCTGACTCCAAGCACTGCTCAGCCCCTGACTCTGAGAGACCATCCCGTGCTGAGCCAGGTCCTGGCAGCTCAGAGCAAAAGGTGCCCAGGGCAGCAGGGCACGGAGGCACCACCTTTGCTCAGTGCTGCTGTTACAGTGCAGGAGAGGACTCGTCCCAGCTTCTCCCTGGGAGCCTTTTTGGGGTTTGAACAAAAAACTGGGGGAGCCCAGCAGAGCTTGGCAGGACCTGCAGAGCCAAGGAAACTTTTCCATGGTGGGATGAGGGAGATGAAGGTGTTTGTGTGGGGAAACTCAGGCTGGCTCAGACACTCAGCACATCCCCCTGCCTGGATCCCTTGGGGCAGGGGAGAGTCCCCACTGCCCCATCCTTGTGCCTAGGACAGCACCAGCTTTGCTGAGGGGAAGAAAAAGGCTGAGAGCAACCCTTGAGCTCTCTGAGTGAGCCCTCACTCCTAAATAACTCCCTGCACCCTCATCCCGGATCAGAGTGCCTTTCACACAAAAACAGGATAATTGCGCAGGAACCCCCAGTCTCACCTTCAAACTCRGTCTGGCAGTTGCCAGAGTTCTCGTTGAGGCTCTCCTCCTCATTGATGATGATGTTCTCAATGTCCTTCATGGTCAGATGGTCACGGAAGGCGTGGTACAGGATGTGCTTCAGCTCCTCCAGCGTGATCCTCTGCATGTCAAACTGCGGGCAGAGAGCGCGGTCACAGCGGGCACGGGGCCAGGAGGGGCCGGGCACCAGGTGAGGCCACAGCCCCCAGCTGGTGCTTTATCGACCTCATTTCATCAGGTTGTGCTCTTTGGGGTTCGTTTCAGTCCAACAGTGAATGCTGTCAATGGGGGATGCCCCTGCCAGCTGATTTAGGGCTGGGGGAGCAGCATAGACACCCAGCCCCGTGCCAGGGATGCCTCCCAGGCTGGAGAGGCAGCAATCCAGCATCAATCCAGACCATCCCAACACACAGAACACCCCAAGGGACTCCCCTGGGAGCTCTCACACCTTCCACAACTCACAACCTTGTTTCTGCCCCCTTTCCTTTCCTTCCCACCCCCCACGCTGTGCCTGGGTGGGAGGACACTTCCCTCTGAGCTCACTTCTGCCRCAGATCCAGCAGGTAAACGCTGCTCTGACACCAAGCAAACATTAAAACCCACAYTCCTGCTGAAYAGGAACATTTTGCCCCAGCAGGACRCTGCCCATGGCAGTTTGTGGCATTAATGAATCCCTGCTGCTGCTGCAGGAGAGGGAGCACTCGCAGGGGCTGCTGTGCCGGGCCAGGGGAGCAGAGGAGTTGCTCTGGGTTTGGGAAAGAAGGATGGAGATAATCCAAGCTGAGTTATTCTGTGTGTTGCAGGTGCTCATCCTCTGTTCAGCACCCCCAGCAGAGGCCTCACAGCCCCAAAAGGGTTTGTGCAGAGCCAACAGGGCCCTGCAGGGCTCCCCCACCCCATCTGGGCCACCCACCCCCCTCAGGGTCCCCAGGAAGCCCAAACCCCTCTGGCTGCACACCCCGGTGAAGGGAAGGTGATGCCAACTCACAGCCACCACTGCCACTGGGGGAGCGGGGCTGAAATCCCCATTCCTTCCCCAGCCTGAGGGGATCAGCCAAACCAGGCAGGGCAGGACAAGGGGAACAGGGTCAGACTRCCAGAGGGCAGGGATGGATGGGATATTGGGCACGAATTGTTCCCTGGGAGGTGGGRAGGCCCTGGCACAGGGTGCCCAGAGCAGCTGTGGCTGYCCCTGGATCCCTGGCAGTGCCCAAGGCCAGGCTAGACATGGGTTTGGTTTTTCTGCCTTCAGGGAATCAGAATCACAGAAAGGCTTGAGGTGGAAGGGACCTTAATGCCCATCCAGTGCCACCCCTGCCATGGCAGGGACACCTCCCACTGTCCCAGGCTGCTCCCAGCCCCAATGTCCAGCCTGGCCTTGGGCACTGCCAGGGATCCAAGGGCAGCCACAGCTGCTCTGGGCACCCTGTGCCAGGGCCTACCCACCCTCCCAGGGAACAATTCCTGCCCAATATCCCATCAAACCATACTTTCCATCAATCTGATCCCATTCCCCCTGTCCTGTCCCTCCAGTTCCTGATCCAGTTCCAGGGTCCCTCTGCCTGCTGTGGATCCCCTCCAGGCTCTGGAGGTGCTGTGAGGTCTCCACACAACCTCCTCCTCTCCAGGYTGAACAATCCCAGCTTTCCCAGCCTCTCCAAGCCTTTGCTGCTCTCCTCTCTGCCAGCATTGCCCTTAAAATGCTCTTGCAGAGCCTCCTGTCCCTATCCCCACCCTCCAGGCTGGGGCACAACCAGAGCTGTGGGCCCCAGACWGTGCCAGCAGTGATGGCCTGAGGGCTTTGGGTTGTTCCTGTACCCGTCAGAGTCTCTCTGCTGGGAAGGGATTGTTCTCTCAACAAACGCTCAGCTGCTGCTGCCTCTCCAGCTCTTCCTGTCGGATGTTGTGCTAATACAGTGAGAAATGGGTTTTTTTGATTGGTTTGTTGTCATTTGTTGAGTTTTAGGAAATGGAACAGCCTCYGATGGGACTGAACATCATCCTCGTTGGCTCAGAGTTGGATTCAGTGATCGCCGGGGGCCCCTCACTCCGAATATTCTGTGAATTGTGAATTTATGCAGGGATTTTTTRGTCYCCTGGCAGRAGTGTGGTCCATGCTCCTCCCTCGCTCTGTGCAGGACCCRTGTCCCCACTGTGTCCCCACGGCAGTGTGGCCAGGACGGGCAGCTCRGGGCAGCCAGGGATAAGCTGTGCCTGGGCTCCCGAACCATTCCTGCCGCTCTCCCGCTGTCCAACCCGGCAATTTCCCTGATTCACTTTTCAATTACTGCGGGTTTTATTGTGCTAATGACAGCAACCAGGGAGCAACTCGTAACTTTTATTGACTCCGCGGGGAGGCCAGCGGGGACCGCGGGAGCTGGGAGCTTTCGGTAGGATTTGTAATGAGGAGAAATCAATGGAGCCGCGTGTGAGCCTGGGGATGGCTCAGGGTGAGCAGAGAACACAAACCGTGCCCGGCCCAGGCACTGCCGTGAGCACCGGGAGCGGGCGCTGCATCGCGGGATGGAGCCCTGGGGCGGGAGGAAATGGCTGTCAYGACGCGGCTGTCGCGACATGGCTATCACGACATGGCTGTTGTGRCACGGCTATCGTGACACAGCTATCGTGACATGACTATCAGGACTCGGCTATCACGACACAGCTATTGCAACATGGCTGTCACGGCACGGATATTGTGACACGGCTATCGCCAGATGGCTATCGTGACATGGCTGTTGCAACATGGCTGTCACGATATGACTATCAGGACTCAGCTATCATGACACAGCTATTGCAACGTGGCTGTCACGACACAGCTATCACGACATGACTATCACAACACGACCATCAGGACTCGGCTATCATGACACAGCTATTGCAACATGGCTATCACGACATGGCTATCGTTACATGACTATTACGACACGGCTATTGTGACATGGCTATTGTGACACAGCTATCGTGACATGACTATCACGACATGACTATCAGGACTTGGCTATCGTGACATGACTATCACGACATGACTATCAGGACTTGGCTATCGTGACATGACTATCAGGACTCGGCTATTATGACACAGCTATTGCAACATGGCTGTCATGACATGGCTATCGTGACATGGCTATCATGACACGGCTATCAGAACTCGGCTATTGTGACACAGCTATCACAACATGGCTATTGTGACATGGCTATCACGATATGGCTATTGTGACATGGCTATCATGACATGGCTATCGTGACATGGCTATCACAATACGGCTATTGTGACATGGCTATCAGGACTCAGCTATCGTGACACAGCTATCACAACATTGCTGTCACGGTATGGCTATCATGACTTGGCTATTGTGACATGGCTATCACGACTTGGCTATTGTGACATGGCTGTCTCAATATGGCTATAGTGGCATGACTATCACGACTTGGCTATCACCATATGGCTATCATGATATGGCTATCTCAACACTGCTATCACGATATGGCTATTGTGACATGGCTGTCACGACTTGGCTATTGCAACATAGCTATCRTGACATGGTTATCGTGACATGGCTATAGCGATGTGGTACCCCTGGGTGTGCTCTATGGAATGATGGGATATCCCAAACTCTGGCCCTGGTACCCCAAGTGTCCCCCCCCCACACCCCATAGCCCTTACAGGGCCAGCATGGAATGTCCCCAGTGCTGTCCCAGCTCTGCCAGAGGCACTCTGGGGTCTGTGGGGTACAAACTGCTCTGGGCAGGGCTCCTTTGGGGCCAGGAATAATTTRGGGTTTTGTGGCTGTCCTGTACAGGGCCAGGAGCTGAACTCGATGGTCCTTGGGATATTCCATGAAWCCATAACACTCAGTGTGGATTCAGAGCATCCCTTAAACCTGCTGGCCCCGTGACTCCGGGGACAGAGGCTGCTGTGGCCTCCACATGTCTGACAGGAGCCCACAGGGACATATTTAGGTTCGAGGATGGGAAATGCTGCTGGGGCTGGGCTGTAAAGAAACCCTTTTCTGTCCAAGGACAAAYCCGAAAATGCCATTCCCTCCTGGAGACGCAATTCCCTCCTGGAGATGCCATTCTCTCCTGAAGATATAATTCCCTGTGACAATCTCACCCCTGGGCGAGGCTGCTCCCACCCTTCACCAGACCCAGACTAACTTTGGGGTGATGCTTTACGCAGGGGAGTGTGTCTTGGGCTGTGTCTGTTCCTAAAATGAACAAAAGAGGAACAGGCGCCACCTCCACGGAAACAGCGGGAACATCAACCCTGGCCCCATCCAACCATCCTGAAGTGCTTCAAGAAACCACGAGAAGTGAGGCTTTGGTTCATTTCTCAATTACAGAATGGTCCGAGGCTGCAGCACAAATTAACAGCTCCAGCAATTTCTGTGGGTGGGTTTAKGGCTGCCAGGCCTGGCCCCAGGCTGATCCTAATCAAAGGGAATCCCTAACGAGGGCTGCACCGTCCTGCCCCTCCATGCCAGGCCTGGGGGAGCCTCTAGGAGAAGCAAACCCCTCACATTTCATTAGGGCTAAAGCTGGGGATTCCCATTTGGCACCAACCACCCTCTGCCACCCCACAGATCTGGAGTTCCCATGGGTTCTTGTCCCTGGGGTAAATCCAGCAGTGGGATGAGGTCAGACCTGCTCTGATGGAGCTGTTTGTGTGCCCCACCACAGGCAGAGGTTTCGGGCAGAGCTGTTCCCCCTTTGCTCACTCAATGGGAGCACAGCGAGGGGGTTTTGGGGCAGATCGCTGTGTGGGGTGTGCCAAAACTCCAATTATTCCAAGGAAAAAAATCACACGAAGTTCCTCCATCGGGGCAGGGCAGGACAGGGGGTYTGCACCCCGGGGGGACCCTCGGGGCCAGCAGCTCCTGTGTTGGGGAATTCACCTGGAATTCACCCCCTGATCCCGGTGAAGCTGGTGCCGGGCAGCACCAATGGGGCTGTGACAGCACAGGGGATTGGGAGGGAGGGGCAGCCTTGCACAAACAATCCCCCTGTCTGCTCCAGCTGACAGATTGGGCCTGACCTCACAGCCTTTTCCCCATTTTCCACAGGGTCCCTGTCTGGAGAAACAATCCTGGACCTGCTCCTGGATGGGATGAGGCAGCAGAAACCTGAGCGAGG